TAGAATATTCCGCGAAGGAAACCGCAAATTTCTCCATTGTTCCTGATACAGCTCTTTGAACAGAGAAGTTCATGTTTTTGCGGTACGCTGATCTGCTCTACTTGTCTTGTAAAAAGAACACTACCGAAAGACATTTGAAATGTTTAAGAACAAGATCATAAAATGTTTTTATTATCTACAGTATACATTATCCAAATGATACAGAAATTTATAGGTATAATAATTTTGAGTGCAAATTTACGTGCAAAGATTTTCCTTGAATTTGTTGAAAAATGAAATGAATATTAGTAATTAATGTTTATTGGAGAATTTACTGAAGTCTGACTCGTGATAAATAATTCTGTATATAGATAGATTTGATAGGTAGAACAGAAAGAGTTGTCTTATTCTCAAGGTTTGCATCTATACACGTTGCAATAGAAAATATTCTTCTACGATGCTATACGAGTCTTACCATAAATTGATACGTTTCGAGATATGCGAGATCCTAAAGTCTTCCACAGTTTCCAATCGAAATCTTCAAAACAAATTGGCACATTCTCTTAAACGTTAACGAGGATAATCTTCGGAAATAGATTGTCCTTGATATAAATGGCAGGAGTAATCGGAGAGATAAAAAATCTTTGATTAACCGTGATTGCCAGACATTTGTAGCCTTAGAAAAATAACGTCGACTATAAGCAGACTTTTTAGATAGAGTTCTTTTTAATATCGTTATGTGAAACACCTACGATTCTTGGATTTTTTCAAAGCAACTACCAGACACGCAGTCGATAAATGATCATTTCTGAAAACTTTTCATTGAGTCGATTGACTACGATAACGATATACTCCGAAAAATCATTTTTCTTAGTCGTTAGTCCCGATTAAATATTTTATTCCTTTATCTTCGTCACACTGTCGATTCGTCGGTATAGTAACTCCTATTCGAATTCAAACATTCGTTAAACGAGAATACTTTTTCAAATGAATCGATTGTGATAGTTTATATTCTTACATTACCATCCCTTGTATACACGGTACACTATGTCCATAAAGATTCATTACTCGAATATTTCCAGTATTAATTATAAAATCGGAAATTTATATTCAGGTACGTTATTCCTGACATCAATGAATCTTTCAGTTTAACACTATTTTTACCGAAGCTGTCAAAAGACAACTTTTGAAATTTTCACTGAAAATTATTTTCTCAGTTTAATCGCTTGTCCTCAATTGAATTCTGGGTATTTCCTATGGTTAATTTGATAATCACTGAAAAAGTCGAGAAGTCAATTCAGCGTATACGACTAAACTCGGAAAATAATTTTAAGTTAAAAATTCGAAAGGTGTCTTTTGATAGTTTCGGTAGAAATAGTGTTAACATTTAAACCGTGAGAAAAGAATGCTGTACGATGGAAATACACAAGTTTCGTCATGCGTAGCATAAGTGAAAAGATGAAAAATGTTAAAGAAGATTTATTAGAAAATGATATTAATCAAATTACATGGGCAACCTATCGCAATAAATGAAATCGTATCAACACAATATAAGTAATCGATATTGATTGTCATTATTGAACCATTGTTACCATTTTTGTTTTAATTGATAATGAGACCGACAAATTTAATACATATAGTATTATACATTTCTCATGATATATCAATACTCTTTGAATAATCTGCAGATTTTATATATTTATAATATGACACAACGTTTATAAAATTTAATTAATATCAACTTTCAATAACGCTGAAATCAATTTTCGGATCATTTCCGTTGCTCTGTTAGTCTCTTTGTAACGTGTTCATATAAACATTCGCAGGTAACGTGTTACTGTACGATTATAATATACTATTGATTTCAATTTAACATAGATACACAGTTATGTATATATACTGATAACAGTCTGTCTGTGTACTCTGCCAAAAATGTCTGCGTCCCGTTTCGTCATAACCTCTTCGTCTTATAAATAATTCAGTTTGTCATAATGAAATTAATGGTACTAAAATCCACGTATAGCTTGCGGACTTCATTGTTGTCTGTTCGATCGTAAACAACGATTGGACTTTACATTTATGTTAAACTTTGTAATAAATGTGTTTCTCTAATCACAGAGTTTTGTACGTAATCATTTTCGAAATGAATCTCGATATTGTCAGTCGACAATAACTGGAGATTCTACGATAACTAAAAACTGATTTGTTAGAGAATACAGTTGAATAGTTATTTACATAAAATATATGTAAATTGTATACATACATCGAAACATGCTTTGCATGGTCCACATATCGCGTTCTTCGCACTACAATGTGATCATAAAGACAAAATAGCAATTTAACAAAGATAAAAGTAATTAACTTTCGTTCAAATTCGACTGAAATCTATTTCAGAATCAAGGAGATAGTTTGAATATTCCTGAAAGCAATTGTATCTTTAAAAAGGAGAACGTTTTTAACAAACAACGTGTTGCAGTTCTGGTATGACTTCTCTTTATAGTATACTATCTTCCGCTTTTATTTATGTGAATACTGTATATATCTTCATTGGGCAAATAGTTCATTAAACTCGCGACTGTACACAGAGAAACTCGAAACTATAATAATTCTTTTCATTATATTTTTGCATCTCAATTTGCACAGCTCTAATACTTTTCCCCGCGAGCAAATACGAATGATCATATTGAAATTCAATCAAATTATATGAACAAATACGTCTTTTGTGTTGCTTCACTCGTACGTACGTGTATAATGTATCATTTTTTAAAGGCCGAACAATTGTCTTAATAATTTTAAATTACATTAACTGAATTCTCATTGATATGCATATTTCCAAAAAAGTTTAGTTTCATATAACAAGTACAACACACGCATCATTATTGATGAATTAATTAACTAACCAATTAATTAATTACTAATAAAATACTTACTCAAAAACACAATGATATAATGACAAAAAAGTTTATAAATAACGATATTAAACGAAATGAACATTTCAGAGACAATTGCAAGCAGCAAGTAAGTATTTACAAATCGCTTCTCAGATACAGCCTGACTGAAGACATTACTTCATTACGCTACTGATTGTCAAATACAATTTTCAATTTCTAGTCAAATTCCGCTGCTGCACTTGTTAATATCAATTCTTCCTTGAACCGGTCGTTCAAAGCGTAATACTGATCGATTGAATGAACGCTAAACTAAAAGTGATTGACTGAAACCACTTGAGCTTCGGACCCTCTAATCTGCGATCCCGTCAAAGTGAACTATCAAACAGTGTCGTCAACGGTGTCCGTTCGTTCAACGTCGCCTCTCGATGAAACTGTATACATCCGAGTAATAGTAGATAATAATTGTAGTATAAGAAAATAAATAAGATTATATCGTGTTTTTGTACACATTCGTCCGTGCAGGTACATCAGAACGATCCTGCGTTCCAACTAAAACTCTTCGAGCTTCGATCAATCACGCATCGATGATAAATAGTATAGTCTATTTCATTGATAGGTTCGCGAATCTTCTCTCCTCTTCTCTAGTTCGTAATAAAATTATATTGTGTCCCTTGAATTCGACTAATTCTCGGTGGAACAATTCGAACCAACTTGTCTAAGCTTTTAGCACTTTTCATCAAAATGCTCCTATGAACTCGAAGTTCTTTGTTTTTATTTTAAACTTTATTTCACCTAACTATTACCAGATACATCTGTGTTTTGATAATTGTAAAATATATTTATATTTACTGTACGTATTGTTTGAATAGTCTTGAAGTGTTCTGGATAAAAATGAAAAATGAAAGACACGACTGAAATATATAAATGAATGTATAAAGTCGTTAGAAATAGCCGAATTTATATTTTTCTTATTAAAAGGTTTTCTACTCTTTTTTGAATCGTATGGTTAGTGCATTTTAGTTGAAACCATTTTTCCTACTTAGCCTAGACTTTTAATCAATTTTAAGAGCCTGTGAAACTTTTATTCTGAATAATTCTAACCCTTGCTTTTATCGCATACATCGTACGTATCGCTTCGTTATTTTTAGTCGAAACTCGAATATTTCAGGTAATGCGTACATTCGAATATTAAAATTCAAGTAGCTAGTTAGTTCAAGTTCAGGAATCGTTCCACAGAGAATAAATTCATCAAAATACCCGAATCAAAGTACAGAGAAAACGCTCGTCACATCGACGATAAGCAAAAATGGACAGAAATGGACGGGGTGGAAACATATTTAGCTCGTGTCCGGCACAAATCGACGTTGTTTATACATCCTCGCAAGAAATATTCGATATCTATCGTAAAATAAATTCGGGGAGCCAGATACGCTTGCAGGTTAGGCTCTGGATTTCCATTATCGTTTAAGGTTAACCCGCCATCTTATGACGATCGTGACGATCGTGCTAAATTATGACGTTCGT